AACAGACGTATCCAAGCATGCAAAAGGAACTGGTACATGTTTCATAAGTTGTGGTTCAGCAGTGTGAGCAGAGACTTCAAGATCGTGCTGTTTCGCATGATGTGCATGTCGTGCTTGATGTCGGGAGTATTGGGACTCCCCTTCAGCAAAGACGATGAGACCAAGCTTGATAAGACTCAGGTGTGGTACTGCAGGAAGTTGATGCAGGGCGCGGCCACGCAGACGACGCACCTCCCCGACGGCACCGAGCGGAAGTACAGTATACATGCTGATCGAGTACTAAGGCTACTCCGACTTGCACCTGTCTCGTTGGAACTTAGAATTCAAAGACTCAGATGGCGCCAGAACATGTTCAGGGCCCCTGGGGGGGGGGGGGGGGAGGGAAGAAGAAGAAGAATACGAAACAAGAAGAAAAAAAAAAAAAAAAAAAAAAAAAAAAAAAAAAAAAAAAAAAAAAAAAAAAAAAAAAAAAAAAAAAAAAAAAAAAAAAAAAAAAAAAAAAAAAAAAAAAAAAAAAAAAAAACGAGCAGCTCCTCACTATCCTTCTGGCCCCGCAGATGCCCTTCGAGTCTGCCCCCTTGGATCACGAGAGGCGCGGATCGTCGATTTTTTTCGTGAAAAGAATGATCGAGGATATCGACTCGCTCGCCGACTTGGAGGATGTGGCCTGTTTCGTGGTACGGTATGAGGGCCCCCCCAAAAAGCTCCTGGTGGATAAGGACTTGCTGGCTCATTTCTTGGAAATTGACGTCTCGGAGTTAAGGAGTAAGTATCTTACTGTGGCTGTTCCTCCTCCAGGACTCCCTCAGGCTCCTCAGGTCCCTGAAGAAGAACCCCCGCACCCCCGTGCATTTAAGTGTAACGATATGCTGGCCAACGGTCAAGAGCGCGGAGAGACCTTCGAGACCCTCAGAGCCCCTCGAGTTCATCAGTCTCGAGCTAGGCGTCAAAATGGTGATGTACACGTTGAGAAGTTTGTCCAGAATAATATGTGCCATGGTGTTCATCGATATTCAGTAGTCGTGTCTGTGCTGTTTCTCATGTGCGACATGCGTTCATCCAGAATAGATGTTTAACTGATCATTCCATCACACCTTAGCTTGTACCAGAAGAAGGCGACATCACATGTCCGTTGCGCACTCAGAAGTTCACTTCATTGGCGATGTATCACATTCGCGTACGATCACACGTTCCAGGGCCACGAGATATTCATTCATCGGTAGCTCGTTCGGGGCTCGAGGTCATCCCAGAGTTGGCCGCTCGTTTCGGGCACCTACCTGCTCGGGCGCCCAGAGGTCGTGCCACTCGATCTCGGCATGCCCCCAGCGCAGCGGCAGCGCCGCGCGGAGCCGCTGGGGCAGGCGCTCAAGGAGGCCGACAAGGACAATCTCAAGGCCATCAAAGAGATGATGATTTTGGCGGCCAAATTTGGGCTGGCGGCAGAGTATCAGGCACGAGTGGCGAGAGCGGCATCGGACTTGGAGGTGTGCGCGCGCCCACTGGCGAGCGACATAGCACAGGCCGGCCTGGAGGCGGGCAGGAGTTATGCCCAGCAGGCGGCGGGAATCGCGAAGGAGGATCGAGGGCAGCAGCCGGGGCTTCCACGCACGTCTATCTTCCTGGCGATCATGAACAAAGCAGAGGCACAAGCAGTGGCGGTCAACGCACAGCTGAAGGCGGACTTCGACAGGTACACTACTCACTACACGCAGATCAGGGACGGCAAGGGAGTGCAGGCAATGCATTTGGCGTTGCAGAAAGACATTCCGCACTGCCGCGTCAAGAAGACGTACGCGAAGGACGATGCGAAGATGGAGATCAAAGTTGCCCGCCAATCGGCGGCATGGGCAGTATGGGAGCACGCGCGTACGATCCTGTGCAACAGCGGAGGGGCGATGAAGTATGGCATGGCTCCCTCGTCAGACATAGCGAGGCGGGTGCATCAAGTGCTCGAGGAGCTGGGCGAGAGTCGGTCTCACGAAGAGCGCTATCGCTAGATATTTCGAGGACTCAAGATCGATTTTATGCTGATATGGCTGTGTCGAGCTCTCCTTTGAATAATGGGTATTCAATGGTCGTTCCTTCGAGCTCATTTTCGACGGCCTCATCGAGTACATCGAGTTCGCTTCGACAACTGCTTGAAGCGGCTGAGCGACCTCGGCGAGTAGATGCCGAGGCCCCGTCTGCCGCGGCGCCTGCTTTCCCTCCTCCTCCTCTTCCTCCTCCTCCTCCTCCTCCTCCTCCTCCTCCTCCTCCTCCTCCTCCTTAGCGTGAAGTAATTTACGTCGATCGGTTCGCTCGCGTGCAGAACGCTCGCGATCGACGATTGCGTCCTCGAGGGTGAGGGGGGTGCTCTCGTTTTGCCCTTGTGGTGGTGGGCCTTCGTGGTCGCTCCACTGTCGGGTGAGACGAGGGTGGCTTCTTCACCCTCGTGCCCGAGCAGGTCGGGACACGTGGCGGTGCCCCTGCCCTGCTCTGGCCCTCTAGGCTCCGTAGGCCGTGTAGGGGGTTCGGAGTGCAGGGTCGGTGGGTTCGATGGCCTTTGTAGAATTGTATTTCGTGTGGGCCGAACTCCTTTCCCTCCTCTCCTGCCTTTTCCCTCCTCCTCTTCCTCCTCCTTCTCATCCTCATCTCCCTCGTGCCGCATTTCTAATCCACATATCCCTGGCAGCACGGTGGAACTCCAAGAGTGGGTTGGCCATCGATATTACCGCCGCCCTCATAAGAGAAGGAATCCTCCAGGGTCTGCATCCTCCTCGGCACAGTCCTTAAACAACGCCCCCACTGTATATAGGTCGGGGAAACCTGCAGATAACTTCCAGAAGCGGCAGCATGAGCTGGCTGCCCCCAAAATGAACGGAAATAGGAAGAGGCGAAACTACACATCTGATCAGATCTCCACAGTTTGCCGTGGAATTCAGGTTTTCTTACAGATGCTACGAGAACTCTGACACTGATCTGGAAGTTGTGTGTGTTTCTTAACGTCGGAGGATCGCGCCGCAAGAGCGATGCATCGCAGCTGCATTGGCGGTGCGTCGGCGGCGTCAGCGATGCATCGGCGACGTCAATGTGGATCACATCGGCAAGGGGTCGTGCGACAGCGTTCGCTCACCAGTGTCTTTGTGAATGCTACAAATAGCTGCTGCATGTGCAACAGCGTGCAAATCAATACTTTAAGCGGCAGCGATCGGAGGCGCAGCGGCGGCGGCGGCAGAGGGCAACGTGAACTGTTCGGCCGCGCTCTCCCCCACATGGATTCGGGGCCCCCCAGAGCCCTGGATGGTACGAAACGCTTCCATTAGAAGAAACCTGCAGGAATCCGTCGGAATCCAAATACACCCGCAGGAATCATTTAGGAATCTAAGGAGCCTCTAAGGAAGCCTCCACGGAGCCTCTAGGGAAGCGCCTAGGGAGCCTCTAGGGAAGCCCCTAAGGAGCCTCTACGGAAGACTCCAATGAGCCTCTAGGGAAGCCTCTAAGAAGTTTCAAGGGAAACCTCTAAGGAGCCTCTAAGGAGCCTCTAAGGAAGCCTCTAATGAAGCCTCTCATGAGCTTCTAGGGAAGCCCCTCAGGAGCCTCTAAGGAGCCTCTAAGGAAGCCTCTAAGGAAGCTTCTAAGGAAACCTCTAAGGAGGAAGCCTCTAAGGAGCTAAGGAAGCCTCTAAGGAAGCCTCTAAGGAGCTTCTAAGGAAGCCTCGAAGGAAGCTTCTGAGGAAGCCTTTAAGGAAACTTCTAAGGAAACCTCTAAGGAACTTCCAAGGAAGCCTCTAAGGAGCTAAGGAGCTTCTAAGGAAGCTATTTCCGGAGCCTATAACGAAGCCTCGAAGGAGCGTCTAAGGAAGCATCAAAGGAGCCTCTAAGGAGCGAGCCTTGAAACGTTTCGAAAACCCTGTGACAGCTGAAAAAATGGTTGTAATTGGTCCCAGTCGGTTGGGATTGGGACCGAAATGGTTCGGATCCGTCCCAGTTGGTTGTGATTTGTCTCATGTTCGGATCTTCCCCCCCTTCGCACGGGTCAAGCCCGAACCCCCTTTCCAAATGGGGGTGCGTCCGAAGCTCCCGGGGGCCTCTCGGGAGCCTTTCGGGGACATGTTGGGAATCTCGGGGGGCATCTTGTGGGGGAGTGGTCCTGCGGTCCTTGCGTGCTCCCTCTCCTCTGCCTCTCTTGGGCCCCTCTCGGGGACCTCTCGAGGGTTTTTTGTTTTCCGTCTTGGGAGTCTCTTGGGTTCGACGCCCGATTGGGGGCCTGTTGGGCCGTCTGTGGCCAGTCTGGTGGGCGCTGTTTCGGTTCTCCAGACGCCCACAAAGCCTTCTGGGGGGTCGGGGTCCTCTTTCCGAGGCCATTTTGAATGCTTTGAGGCCATCTGGGCGTTTGTACCCTTGGTGCGCCGTCTTGAATGCTTTTGAGGCCATTTTTGACGACCGTCTTGAGGCCATTTTGAATGCTTTCGAGGCCAACTGGGCGTTTGTGCCCTCGGTGCGCCGTTCTGGACAGTGTCTGGGGCATCTCAGGGGCGACGGAGGCTGGATTCCGAAGCTCCAGAGGCCCCATGGTGCGTCGAGGAGTTCGATTAGGGGCCCTGGGGGAGGGTGAAGGGGGGGATTGGAGCAGCCAACCATCTCATGCGCCTTTGCACCTCGGGGAAGCGGGGGTCAGCGGATTTTGGGTATGAGCGGCTGACTACGAGTGACACTGAGTATGAGCGGGAGTGAGCATCAGTGGGGCTGAATCTGTTTGAATGTGGGCGCGAGCCTGAAACTGAGTGGGCCCAAGACCGAGAGAGCGGGCATGAGTGGGTATGAGTGTGAGTGGATATGTGTATTAGTGTTACCCCGGAAGAAGGGGCAGTACAGGGAGGGGAGGGGTCCATACATCAAGATTTTCGCCCGCGCGGGGTCGGGGGAGGACGCCCTGCGCGCGATTCTGTTTACGTTCACTGGGGCACTTCAAAGATAAGTGGGCTCGGCGGGGAAGCGGGGGGCTGGAGGAGGACCGCCCAGGCGCTCACCAGCCTGCAGGCCAAGAAGTCCGTGGAGGACCTGGGCGAGGCTGACCTGAAGGGGAAGACGGTGCTGATCCGGTGCGACCTCAACGTGCCCCTGAACGCGGACCTGGAGATCACGGACGACACGCGCATCACGGCCTCGATCCCGACGATCGAGTACCTCTGCAGCAAGGGCGCCAGGGTGCTGGCGTGCTCCCACCTGGGCCGTCCCAAGGACGGGCCCGAGGAGAAGTTCTCGCTGAAGCCGGTGGCGAAGAAGATGGGGGAGCTGATGAAGAAGGACATCAAGTGCGCCCCGGACTGCAAGGCAACCGACGAGGTGAAGGGGATGGTGTCGGCCATGAGCGATGGAGACGTTCTGATCCTGGAGAACACTCGGTTCTACAAGGGGGAGACCAAGAACGACCCTGAGTTGGCGGAGAGCATGGCCAGCCTGGCGGACCTCTTCGTGAACGACGCGTTCGGCACTGCGCACCGCGCGCACTCCTCCACCGAGGGCGTGACCAAGTTCCTGAAGCCGAGCGTCTCTGGCTTCCTGCTGAAGAAGGACTAGGGGAAGGGGATGTTGAGGGGGACGCCCTTCTAGAGGTGGCGTCGGGTGTGTGTGGCGGTGCAGGCAGTCAGTGTTGGTACCATGGTCTGCCGTGAGATTGGTTGTGGCCGTGGGCACATTTGCGAAGGCCTCACGGCCAGTGCCGCCGACCCTGAAGGCGGGACCTCCCTGGGGACCCCCGCCATGTGAGGGCAGGCATGGTGGACGACAGATGGTGAGCAGTTTCGGCCCGCTGGAAGCTGCGCTAGAGAGGTACTCGTCCTAGTCTCTTCACCTCCCCCGGGCCAGTATTGCAACTGTCCAAGCTCGCGTCCCGTCCTCGCTCACCCCACTCCCCAGCCCTGGAGGAGCTGGACTACTTGAAGGGCGCTGTGGACAACCCGGTGAAGCCAATGGCGGCCATCGTGGGCGGCGCCAAGGTGAGCACGAAGATCCCGGTGATCGAGTCCATGTTGGAGAAGGTGGACAAGGTGATCATCGGCGGCGGCATGGTGTTCACCTTCCTGAAGGCCCGCGGCCTCTCGGTCGGGAACTCCCTGGTGGAGGACGACCTCATCCCAGTTGTGAAGAAGCTGGAGGAGGAGGCCAAGGCCAAGGGCGTCGAGATCATCCTCCCGAGCGACATCGCCTGCGGCGACGAGTTCCCCGCGGGGGGCAAAGAGGTCAATTACAAGGTGGTGCCCGCGGATGCGATCCCGGACGGCTGGCTCGGCCTGGACAACGGCCCGAAGGCGACCGAGGAGATCAAAGCCGCCCTGGCGGATTGCAAGACGATCATCTGGAACGGCCCCATGGGAGTGTTCGAGAGCCCGCAGTTCAGCAAGGGCACCTACGACGTGGCGGAGTGCATCGCCGAGCTGACGGAGAAGAACGGCGCCATCAGCATTATCGGTGGAGGGGACTCCGTGTCTGCGGTGAACAAGTCTGGCTTGGCGCCGAAGATGTCGCACATCTCCACTGGAGGCGGTGCCAGCTTGGAGCTTTTGGAGGGCAAGGTGCTGCCGGGTGTGGCTGCGCTGGAGGATAAGGAGATGGCCGCCGCGGCGTTCTGCGGACAGCGCAAGGCCCCCAAGGCTTCCAGGATCAGCCTGCAGGCCAAGAAGTCTGTGGAGGACCTGGGCGAGGCTGACCTGAAGGGGAAGACGGTGCTGATCCGGTGCGACCTCAACGTGCCCTTGAACGCGGACCTGGAGATCACGGACGACACGCGCATCACGGCCTCGATCCCGACCATCGAGTACCTCTGCAGCAAGGGCGCCAGGGTGCTGGCGTGCTCCCACCTGGGCCGCCCCAAGGACGGGCCCGAGGAGAAGTTCTCGCTGAAGCCGGTGGCGAAGAAGATGGGGGAGCTGATGAAGAAGGACATCAAGTGCGCCCCGGACTGCAAGGCAACCGACGAGGTGAAGGGGATGGTGTCGGCCATGAGCGATGGAGACGTTCTGATCCTGGAGAACACTCGGTTCTACAAGGGGGAGACTAAGAACGACCCTGAGTTGGCGGAGAGCATGGCCAGCCTGGCGGACCTCTTCGTGAACGACGCGTTCGGCACTGCGCACCGCGCGCACTCCTCCACCGAGGGCGTGACCAAGTTCCTGAAGCCGAGCGTCTCTGGCTTCCTGCTGAAGAAGGACTAGGGGAAGGGGATGTTGAGGGGGACGCCCTTCTAGAGGTGGCGTCGGGTGTGTGTGTGGCAGTCAGTGTTGGTGCCATGGTCTGCCGTGAGATTGGTTGTGGCCGTGGGCACATTTGCGAAGGCCTCACGGCCAGTGCCGCCGACCCTGAAGGCGGGACCTCCCCCGAGTTTCCCCGCTGGCGACCCCCCCCGAACCCGCCGGGATTCCAGGGTGGGTGGGACCCGAGACCCCCCTCTCCCATCCCCCCCCCTTCCCCCCTTGTCAGGGAAGGGAAGAGGGGGAGGGAATCGATTTCACTTCGTAACTACGACGTTGCTTTTCCTTGTACCTCAATTTCCCTGCGACTGGCGACGACGACGACGACTCAAAAGGAAAAGCGTCTCACACACGCCGAAGGGTCGCCGCATTTTGATTGGTAAGTGGAAGAGAAGGTTCGATTCGATCGGCGGATTTTGATGGATAAGTGGTAGATAAGGTTCGGCCCAGCCTTCTCGCATACCCTGCCCAGACATTCGACTGTTCTTGCGAGAAGCTGCGCTCAGATATAGTAGTGTCGATGGGGTTGCAAGGTCACGGCCTCTGTCAGGTTCGTGGGGTTACCTCCTCTGAGCGCCCTAGGATGACAAGTTTCTTGCCATGTGAGGGCATGGTGGACGACAAATGGTGAGCAGTTTCGGCCCACTGGAAGCTGCGCTAGAGAGGTACTCGTCCTAGTCTCTTCACCTCCCCAGGGCCGGTATTGGAAATGTCCAAGCTCGCGTCCCGTCCTCGCTCACCCCACTCCCCAGCCCTGGAGGAGCTGGACTACTTGAAGGGCGCTGTGGACAACCCGGTGAAGCCAATGGCGGCCATCGTGGGCGGCGCCAAGGTGAGCACGAAGATCCCGGTGATCGAGTCCATGTTGGAGAAGGTGGACAAAGTGATCATCGGCGGCGGCATGGTGTTCACCTTCCTGAAGGCCCGCGGCCTCTCGGTCGGGAACTCCCTGGTGGAGGACGACCTCATCCCAGTTGTGAAGAAGTTGGAGGAGGAGGCCAAGGCCAAGGGCGTCGAGATCATCCTCCCGAGCGACATCGCCTGCGGCGACGAGTTCCCCGCAGGGGGCAAAGAAGTCAATTACAAGGTGGTACCCGCGGATGCGATCCCAGACGGCTGGCTCGGCCTGGACAACGGCCCGAAGGCGACCGAGGAGATCAAAGCTGCCCTGGCGGATTGCAAGACGATCATCTGGAACGGCCCCATGGGAGTGTTCGAGAGTCCGCAGTTCAGCAAGGGTACCTACGACGTGGCGGAGTGCATCGCCGAGCTAACGGAGAAGAATGGCGCCATCAGCATTATCGGTGGAGGGGACTCCGTGTCTGCGGTGAACAAGTCCGGCCTGGCGCCGAAGATGTCGCACATCTCCACTGGAGGCGGTGCCAGCTTGGAGCTTTTGGAGGGCAAGGTGCTGCCGGGTGTGGCTGCGCTGGAGGACAAGGAGATGGCCGCCGCGGCGTTTTGCGGACAGCGCAAGGCACCCAAGGCTTCCAGGATCAGCCGTCAGGCCAAGAAGTCCGTGGAGGACCTGGGCGAGGCTGACCTGAAGGGGAAGACGGTGCTGATCCGGTGCGACCTCAACGTGCCCCTGAACGCGGACCTGGAGATCACGGACGACACGCGCATCACGGCCTCGATCCCGACGATCGAGTACCTCTGCAGCAAGGGCGCCAGGGTGCTGGCGTGCTCCCACCTGGGCCGCCCCAAGGACGGGCCTGAGGAGAAGTTCTCGCTGAAGCCGGTGGCGAAGAAGATGGGGGAGCTGATGAAGAAGGACATCAAGTGCGCCCCGGACTGCAAGGCAACCGACGAGGTGAAGGGGATGGTGTCGGCCATGAGCGATGGAGACGTTCTGATCCTTGAGAACACTCGGTTCTACAAGGGGGAGACCAAGAACGACCCTGAGTTGGCGGAGAGCATGGCCAGCCTGGCGGACCTCTTCGTGAACGACGCGTTTGGCACTGCGCACCGCGCGCACTCCTCCACCGAGGGCGTGACCAAGTTCCTGAAGCCGAGCGTCTCTGGCTTCCTGCTGAAGAAGGACTCGGGGAAGGGGTGTTGAGGGGGACGCCCTTCTAGAGGTGGCGTCGGGTGTGTGTGTGTGTGTGTGTGTGGCGGTGCAGGCAGGCAGTGTTGGTGCCATGGTCTGCCGTGAGATTGGTTGTGGCCGTGGGCACATTTGCGAAGGCCTCACGGCCAGTGCCGCCGACCGTGAAGGCGGGACCTCCCCCGAGTTTCCCCGCTGGCGACCCCCCCGAACCCGCCGGGATTCCAGGGTGGGTGGGACCCGAGACCCCCCTCTCCCATCCCCCCCCCTTCCCCCCCTGTCAGGGAAGGGAAGAAGGGAAGGGAACCGATTTCACTTAGTAACTACGACGTTGCTTTTCCTTGTACCTCAATTTCCCTGCGACTGGCGACCACGACGACGACGACGACGACTCAAAAGGAAAAGCGTCTCACACACGCCGAAGGGTCGCCGCATTTTGATTGGTAAGTGGAAGAGAAGGTTCGATTCGATCGGCGGATTTTGATGGATAAGTGGTAGATAAGATTCGGCCCAGCCTTCTCGCATACCCTGCCCAGACATTCGACTGTTCTTGCGAGAAGCTGCGCTCAGATATAGTAGTGTCGATGGGGTTGCAAGGTCACGGCCTCTGTCAGGTTCGTGGGGTTACCTCCTCTGAGCGCCCTAGGATGACAAGTTTCTTGCCATGTGAGGGCATGGTGGACGACAAATGGTGAGCAGTTTCGGCCCACTGGAAGCTGCGCTAGAGAGGTACTCGTCCTAGTCTCTTCACCTCCCCAGGGCCGGTATTGGAAATGTCCAAGCTCGCGTCCCGTCCTCGCTCACCCCACTCCCCAGCCCTGGAGGAGCTGGACTACTTGAAGGGCGCTGTGGACAACCCGGTGAAGCCAATGGCGGCCATCGTGGGCGGCGCCAAGGTGAGCACGAAGATCCCGGTGATCGAGTCCATGTTGGAGAAGGTGGACAAGGTGATCATCGGCGGCGGCATGGTGTTCACCTTCCTGAAGGCCCGCGGCCTCTCGGTCGGGAACTCCCTGGTGGAGGACGACCTCATCCCAGTCGTGAAGAAGTTGGAGGAGGAGGCCAAGGCCAAGGGCGTCGAGATCATCCTCCCGAGCGACATCGCCTGCGGCGACGAGTTCCCCGCGGGGGGCAAAGAGGTCAATTACAAGGTGGTGCCCGCGGATGCGATCCCGGACGGCTGGCTCGGCCTGGACAACGGCCCGAAGGCCACCGAGGAGATCAAAGCTGCCCTGGCGGATTGCAAGACGATCATCTGGAACGGCCCCATGGGAGTGTTCGAGAGCCCGCAGTTCAGCAAGGGTACCTACGACGTGGCGGAGTGCATCGCCGAGCTAACGGAGAAGAATGGCGCCATCAGCATTATCGGTGGAGGGGACTCCGTGTCTGCGGTGAACAAGTCCGGCCTGGCGCCGAAGATGTCGCACATCTCCACTGGAGGCGGTGCCAGCTTGGAGCTTTTGGAGGGCAAGGTGCTGCCGGGTGTGGCTGCGCTGGAGGACAAGGAGATGGCCGCCGCGGCGTTTTGCGGACAGCGCAAGGCACCCAAGGCTTCCAGGATCAGCCGTCAGGCCAAGAAGTCCGTGGAGGACCTGGGCGAGGCTGACCTGAAGGGGAAGACGGTGCTGATCCGGTGCGACCTCAACGTGCCCCTGAACGCGGACCTGGAGATCACGGACGACACGCGAATCACGGCATCGAGTGAGGACGAATCGAGTACCTCTGAGGTCAAGGGGCGCCAAGGTGGCTGGCGGGCTCCCACCATGGGCGCCCCAAAGGACGGGGCCCGAGGAGAAGTTCTCGCTGAAGCCAGTGGCGAAGAAGATGGGGGAAGGTGATGCAGATAGACATCAAGTTGGCGCCCGGACATGCAAGGGACTCGGGGACGAGGGTGAAAGGGCGATGGTGTCGGGCCATGAGCACTGAGGGAGACGTATGTCCTGGAGAACAACTCGGTTCTACAAGGAGATGACCAAGAGAAACGATCCTGATGCTGGCGGTGAGCATGGCCAGCCTGGCCGACATGTTTGTGAACAGACGCGTTCGGCACCGCAGCACCTGCGCGACTTTCTTCCTCCGATAGGGCTGTGACAAAATTCCTGAAGCCGAGCGTCTCGGGCTTCCTGCTGAAGAAGGAGCTGGACTACTTGAAGGGCGCCGTGGACAGCCCGGTGAAGCCGATGGCGGCCATCGTGGGCGGCGCCAAGGTGAGCACGAAGATCCCAGTGATCGAGTCCATGCTGGAGAAGGTGGACAAGGTGATCATCGGCGGAGGCATGGTGTTCACCTTCCTGAAGGCACGTGGTCTCTCGGTCGGGAACTCCCTGGTGGAGGACGACCTCATCCCAGTGGTGAAGAAGCTGGAGGAGCAGGCCAAGGCCAAGGGCGTCGAGATCATCCTCCCGAGCGACATAGCTTGCGGCGACGAGTTCCCCGCGGGGGGCAAAGAGGTGAACTACAAGGTGGTGCCCGCGGATGATATCCCGGACGGCTGGCTCGGCCTGGACAACGGCCCGAAGGCGACTGAGGAGATCAAGGCTGCTCTGGCGGATTGCAAGACGATTATCTGGAACGGCCCGATGGGCGTGTTCGAGAGCCCGCAGTTCAGCAAGGGCACCTATGACGTGGCGGAGTGCATCGCCGAGCTGACGGAGAAGAACGGCGCCATCAGCATCATTGGTGGCGGTGACTCCGTGTCCGCGGTGAACAAGTCCGGCCTGGCGCCGAAGATGTCGCACATCTCCACCGGGGGCGGTGCCAGCCTGGAGCTGCTGGAAGGCAAGGTGCTGCCAGGTGTGGCTGCGCTGGACGAGAAGGAGATGGCCGCCGCTGCGTTCTGCGGACTGCGCAAGGTCCCCAAGGCTTCCAGGACCAGCCTGCGGGCCAAGAAGTCCGTGGAGGACCTGGGCGAGGCGGACCTCAAGGGGAAGACGGTGCTGATTCGGGTGTGACCTCAATCGTCCCTGAACGCAGGAACCCCCTGGAGATCACGGACGATCACGCGCATCACGGCATCGATCCGACGATCGGTACCTCTGCTGCCCAGCAAGGGCGCCAAAAAGTGCTGGGTGCTCCGCACATTGGCGTCCCAAGGACGGGCCCGAGGAGAAGTTCTCGCTGAAGCCAGTGGCGAAGAAGATGGGGGAGCTGATGAAGAAGGACATCAAGTGCGCCCCGGACTGCAAGGCTACGGACGAGGTGAAGGCGATGGTGTCGGGCATGAGCGAGGGAGACGTTCTGATCCTGGAGAACACTCGGTTCTACAAGGGAGAGACCAAGAACGATCCTGAGCTGGCGGAGAGCATGGCCAGCCTGGCCGACCTGTTTGTGAACGACGCGTTCGGCACCGCGCACCGCGCGCACTCCTCCACCGAGGGCGTGACCAAGTTCCTGAAGCCGAGCGTCTCGGGCTTCCTGCTGAAGAAGGAGCTGGACTACTTGAAGGGCGCCGTAGACAGCCCAGTGAAGCCGATGGCGGCCATCGTGGGCGGCGCCAAGGTGAGCACGAAGATCCCGGTGATCGAGTCCATGCTGGAGAAGGTGGACAAGGTGATCATTGGCGGAGGCATGGTGTTCACCTTCCTGAAGGCACGTGGTCTCTCGGTCGGGAACTCCCTGGTGGAGGACGACCTCATCCCAGTTGTGAAGAAGCTTGAGGAGCAGGCCAAGGCCAAGGGCGTCGAGATCATCCTCCCGAGCGACATAGCCTGCGGCGACGAGTTCCCCGCGGGGGGCAAAGAGGTGAACTACAAGGTGGTGCCCGCGGATGCGATCCCGGACGGCTGGCTCGGCCTGGACAACGGCCTGTGTTTCGCGACCTAGGAGTTCAAGGCTGCTATGGCGGTTGCCAAGACGATATCCTGGAACGTTCAGCACAGCGACGAGTTCGAGCGCCCCCGCAGTTCAGCAAGGGCCACCTACGACGTGGCGGAGTGCATCCGCCGTGTGACGGAGAAGAACGGAGCCTATCAGCATCATTGGTGGCGGGTTGACTCCGTGTCCGCGGTGTGGAACAAGTCCGGCCTGGCGCCGATGGATGTCGCACATCGCACTGGGGGGCGGTTGCCAGCATTTTGGAGCTGCTGGAAGGCAAAGTGCTGACTGGTGTGGCTGGCGCTGGACCCGGGTAAGATGGGAGATGGCCGCGCTGCGTTCTGCGGAAGCGTATTAAGGTCCCAAGCCTTCCAGGACCAGCTGGGGCCAAGAAGTCCGTGGAGGACCTCGGCGAGGCGGACCTGAAGGGCAAGACGGTGCTGATCCGGTGCGACCTCAACGTGCCCTTGAATGCGGACCTGGAGATCACGGACGAGACGCGCATCACAGCCTCGATCCCGACGATCGAGTACCTCTGCAGCAAGGGCGCCAAGGTGCTGGCGTGCTCCCACCTGGGGCGCCCCAAGGACGGGCCCGAGGAGAAGTTCTCGCTGAAGCCAGTTGCGAAGAAGATGGGAGAGCTGATGAAGAAGGACATCAAGTGCGCCCCAGACTGCAAGGCCACGGACGAGGTGAAGGCGATGGTGTCGGGCATGAGCGAGGGAGACGTTCTGATCCTGGAGAACACTCGTTTCTACAAGGGGGAGACCAAGAACGACCCCGAGCTGGCGGAGAGCATGGCCAGTCTGGCGGACCTGTTCGTGAACGACGCGTTCGGCACCGCGCATCGCGCGCACTCCTCCACCGAGGGCGTGACCAAGTTCCTGAAGCCGAGCGTCTCGGGCTTCCTGCTGAAGAAGGAGCTGGACTACCTGAAGGGAGCCGTGGACAGCCCGGTGAAACCGATGGCGGCCATCGTGGGCGGCGCCAAGGTGAGCACGAAGATCCCGGTGATCGAGTCTATGCTGGAGAAGGTGGACAAGGTGATCATCGGCGGAGGCATGGTGTTCACCTTCCTGAAGGCACGCGGCCTCTCGGTCGGAAACTCCTTGGTGGAGGACGACCTCATCCCAGTTGTGAAGAAGCTGGAGGAGCAGGCCAAGGCCAGGGGCGTCGAGATCATCCTCCCGAGCGACATAGCATGCGGCGACGAGTTCCCCGCGGGGGGCAAAGAGGTGAACTACAAGGTGGTGCCCGCAGATGCGATCCCAGACGGCTGGCTCGGCCTGGACAACGGCCCGAAGGCGACCGAGGAGATCAAGGCTGCTCTGGCGGATTGCAAGACGATCATCTGGAACGGCCCGATGGGCGTGTTCGAGAGCCCGCAGTTCAGCAAGGGCACCTACGACGTGGCGGAGTGCATCGCCGAGCTGACGGAGAAGAACGGCGCCATCAGCATCATTGGTGGCGGTGACTCCGTGTCCGCGGTGAACAAGTCCGGCCTGGCGCCGAAGATGTCGCACATCTCCACCGGGGGCGGTGCCAGCCTGGAGCTGCTGGAAGGCAAGGTGCTGCCAGGTGTGGCTGCGCTGGACGAGAAGGAGATGGCCGCCGCGGCGTTCTGCGGACAGCGCAAGGTCCCCAAGGCTTCCAGGACCAGCCTGCGGGCCAAGAAGTCCGTGGAGGACCTGGGCGAGGCGGACCTCAAGGGGAAGACGGTGCTGATCCGGTGCGACCTCAACGTGCCCCTGAACGCGGACCTGGAGATCACGGACGACACGCGCATCACGGCCTCGATCCCGACGATCGAGTACCTCTGCAGCAAGGGCGCCAAAGTGCTGGCGTGCTCCCACCTTGGCCGTCCCAAGGACGGGCCCGAGGAGAAGTTCTCGCTGAAGCCAGTGGCGAAGAAGATGGGGGAGCTGATGAAGAAGGACATCAAGTGCGCCCCGGACTGCAAGGCCACGGACGAGGTGAAGGGGATGGTGTCGGCCATGAGCGAGGGAGACGTTCTGATCCTGGAGAACACTCGGTTCTACAAGGGAGAGACCAAGAACGATCCTGAGTTGGCGGAGAGCATGGCCAGCCTGGCGGACCTGTTCGTGAACGACGCGTTCGGCACCGCGCACCGCGCGCACTCCTCCACCGAGGGCGTGACCAAGTTCCTGAAGCCGAGCGTCTCGGGCTTCCTGCTGAAGAAGGAGCTGGACTACTTGAAGGGCGCCGTAGACAGCCCGGTGAAGCCGATGGCGGCCATTGTGGGCGGCGCCAAGGTGAGCACGAAGATCCCGGTGATCGAGTCTATGCTGGATAAGGTGGACAAGGTCATCATTGGCGGAGGCATGGTGTTCACCTTCCTGAAGGCACGTGGTCTCTCGGTCGGGAACTCCCTCGTGGAGGACGACCTCATCCCAGTTGTGAAGAAGCTGGAGGAGCAGGCCAAGGCCAAGGGCGTCGAGATCATCCTCCCGAGCGACATAGCCTGCGGCGACGAGTTCCCCGCGGGGGGCAAAGAGGTGAACTACAAGGTGGTGCCCGCGGATGATATCCCGGACGGCTGGCTCGGCCTGGACAACGGCCCGAAGGCGACCGAGGAGATCAAGGCTGCTCTGGCGGATTGCAAGACGATTATCTGGAACGGCCCGATGGGCGTGTTCGAGAGCCCGCAGTTCAGCAAGGGCACCTACGACGTGGCCGAATGCATCGCCGAGCTGACGGAGAAGAACGGCGCCATCAGCATCATTGGTGGCGGTGACTCCGTGTCCGCGGTGAACAAGTCCGGCCTGGCGCCGAAGATGTCGCACATCTCCACAGGGGGCCCAGTGCCAGCCTGCGAGTGCGGGAAGGCAGGTGCTGCCAGAGGTGTGGCTGCGCTGGACGAGAAGGAGATGGCCGCCGCGGCCGTTTTCTGCAGGACAGCGCCAAGGTCCCCAAGGCTGCCAGGACCAGCCCTGCGGGCTCAAGAAGTCCCGTGGAGGGACCTGGGCGAGGCGGAACATGGACCTCAAGGGGAAGACGGTGCTGATCCGGTGCGACCTCAACGTGCCTCTGAACGCGGACCTGGAGATCACGGACGACACGCGCATCACGGCCTCGATCCCGACGATCGAGTACCTCAGCAGCAAGGGCGCCAAGGTGCTGGCGTGCTCCCACCTGGGGCGCCCCAAGGACGGGCCCGAGGAGAAGTTCTCGCTGTTGAAGCAGTGGCGAAGAAGACCAGCCCAATGGGGGGAGCTGATGAAGACGGACATCAAGGTGCGCCCCAGACTGAAGTGTCTCACGGACGACGTGGTGAAGGGGATGGTGCGGCCATGAGCGAGGGCGACGTGCTTGATCCTGAGAACACTCGTTTCATAGGCGGGGAGGACAGAACGACCCCGCGCTGGCGGAGAGGCATGGCCCAGACTGGCGGACCTGTTCGTGAACGACGCGTTCGGCACCGCGCATCGCGCGCACTCCTCCACCGAGGGCGTGACCAAGTTCCTGAAGCCGAGCGTCTCGGGCTTCCTGCTGAAAAAGGAGCTGGACTACCTGAAGGGAGCCGTGGACAGCCCGGTGAAACCGATGGCGGCCATCGTGGGCGGCGCCAAGGTGAGCACGAAGATCCCGGTGATCGAGTCTATGCTGGAGAAGGTGGACAAGGTGATCATCGGTGGAGGCATGGTGTTCACCTTCCTGAAGGCACGTGGTCTCTCGGTCGGGAACTCCCTCGTGGAGGACGACCTCATCCCAGTTGTGAAGAAGCTGGAGGAGCAGGCCAAGGCCAGGGGCGTCGAGATCATCCTCCCGAGCGACATAGCCTGCGGCGACGAGTTCCCCGCGGGGGGCAAAGAGGTGAACTACAAGGTGGTGCCCGCGGATGCGATCCCGGACGGCTGGCTCGGCCTGGACAACGGCCCGAAGGCGACCGAGGAGATCAAGGCTGCTCTGGCGGATTGCAAGACGATCATCTGGAACGGCCCGATGGGCGTGTTCGAGAGCCCGCAGTTCAGCAAGGGCACCTACGACGTGGCCGAGTGCATCGCCGAGCTGACGGAGAAGAACGGCGCCATCAGCATCATTGGTGGCGGTGACTCCGTGTCCGCGGTGAACAAGTCCGGCCTGGCACCGAAGATGTCGCACATCTCCACCGGGGGCGGCGCCAGCTTGGAGCTGCTGGAGGGCAAGGTGCTGCCAGGCGTCGCCGCCCTGGACAACGCATGAGGGCGGGCCCTCCCAGGATCCTCCTCGCCGCATTGCGCCTGGCTGCCAGGGCATTTAATGGTGCAGCTCGTTGGCATACCAGGCCTCCACTCCGATGGCCATTCCTGCATGGCAGGGCATGTTTTTTTCTTCCGGCTTGAGTTTTAATGCCGCTCTTTCGGCTTAGGTTTCACGGGCGCAGGGGCAAGCCAGCTTTTGCGGCCCGGACAGATGTTCTGAAGCCGTGCTGCCAAGGTGTATGTAGCAACTCCGACCGCAGCATTACTGTATTACCCTGGAGCGTGTGCTCATGTTGGTGGCGACCTAGTCGGCTCAACAAAAAACACCTTCGGGGCACCAAGCTCCTCCGGAGGTCCCTCTGGCAGTGTCGACATGCGGCCCCTCCTCCGCCAATGTCGGCACACTCCCCACCTGTTCCGTGGCCCCGCAGGGAGCTCCAGCTGAGGTCCGAGCGGCACAGTCCGCATGCATCCCTCGGGGGTCCCCAAACGGAGTGGTGACCACACCTTGCGGTGAGTCGGTGGGGGTTCGGGGTCACCGCACGGTTTTAGGACTCGGGTCGTTATCCGAGGACGTCTCGGGCGATTGGGGCATCCGAGGTCCCAAAGCCGTGCGTTGACGGACCGTGCTGTGAGGTCTTGAGGGATTTCGAGGTCACCGCACGGTCTGCCACCGCACCGCTTCGGGACTCCCAAATCCCCCCCGCCCTTTTCGGCGCACCCTTCAAACGTTTCTTGGCCCCATACGGAGCTCCTTCGAAGATCCAGGTGACGCAGTCCACAAGCGTCCCGCCCGCCGATTGCGGCACACTCCCCACACGCTTCGTGGTCCCATAGGGAGCTCCACAGAAGGTCCTGCTAGCACAATCGGCACGCGCCCTCCCCGACCATTTCGACCATTTCGGCACACCCCTCACACGTTTCGTAGCCCCGTGTAGGGAGCTCCGCCTAAGGCCCCAGTAGCTGCCTGTTCGGCCCCAAAAGATCCGCGCGTGTCGCTGGAATTCCCTCGCGGCGACCAGCGCGCGTCGCGGGGACTCCTCTGCGCTCCGCCTCCTTGAGGGCGACGGGCTTGCATGCTGCGGGCGCCTGGAAGAAGGGGCTCTGCGAGCGCCCGAGCGCTCGTCGCCCCTGCCCCCGGTGTTCCCCCGTTCGCCGTCACCCTCGTCTTATTCCGCGCCCCAGCCCTTCTGCTGCGCCCCCCCATCCCTCTTCCCAGCTGCCTCGCGACAGTCGCAGCTGCACACGGTTGGGTCCGCCGCACGAGGCGTGATGTCCTAAGAGAGGCGCGCGCTGGTACACGTGTGTTTCTTTTTTTTTTTTGTGTTTTGGTGTTTTTTTGGTTGGTTGGTGTTTTTGTTTTTTGTTTTTTTGTTCTGTGCGTTGTGTTTTGTTTTGTGTTTGTTGGTTTTGTGTCTGTTTGTTTTTTTGTTGGTTTTATTTGATTGTGGTGTTGTGTTTTGTGTTGTTTTTTGTGTTGTTTTGTTTGTTGTTTGTTGTGCTTGGTTTGTGTGGGTTGTTTGTTGGTGTGTCCTGGTACACGGCAGCGCGCCGTTTGCCGGCGGAGCGGGCGCAGGCTCCGGGCGGCTGGCCCGCCCCTGAAGCAACGCGCGCATCGTCCGCACGCTTGTCAGATGCGGAACGGCGTGATCAGTTGCTGCGCGCCGCGTCTGCAGTAGGAGCTCAACCACAAGAGACCCTCCACGAGAAGCCCAACCCTGAGGGCCCGGGACGTTCATTGATTTCTGGTGTGGGAGCGCCACGCTCTCCATCGCAAAGCCATCGAAGCCCAGGAAACCCAGGGCACCCTGGAGGCAAGCAGGGTGTTTCTTGGCATGGGCCTCCACTGTGCAATTCCTGCTGGTGCGGCGGCCCCGTCCGCCGCCCAGCCCTGGGAGCATGCGAAAACTTTCCTCGTCGAGGATAAGGCCTGGCCGGCGTGTCAGGCGCTCGTTCCCGGGGCGCCGCGGACCTGGCCAGGCCAGCCTGCAGTTCACGGGGCGAGGCCCACGCGGATTTCTCGCAGCCGCGCCGGACCCTCCCTGTGGCGCCTCCGGCGCCGCCCCTGGCGCGCTCGCTCCGAGGAATCCGCGCGGACCTCCGAGCGATTGTGTTTGTGTCATGTTCGTTCCCCAGCATGTCGCCAGACGCGGGGGGCGCGCTGGGGGGCTAGTTACTATATCGACGGAAGTTCTGCCTTTTTGAATTATTGTAATAGAATTTCTCGGAATTGGAACATGACTCGTAGAGCTTCCCTAAGAGCGTTAGCAGCGAAGCTAGAAGAGTAATTCCAGCGCGCTGCCCCAGACCTTGACGTAAAACGGTCCCCCTCCTGCTCTCCCGTCTCTTCCCACAGAGTGGCGAGCATACCGGGGGGGCGGCCTTGCAGTCGGGGAAAGGGTATCCGGCGGGGTCGGCGGAGTCGATGCATGTCTTACAGATGTCTCATCGTCGCGTTTTGATGGGTTCCGTTTGCACGCAAGCGCCCTCTTCCAGCACCCCGCACCCGGTCACCGTTTTCAGGTGATTGTTGCAATTCGTTCTTGTCCAGGGGTTTGCGTTGGCCAGCGTTCCTGGCCAACTTCCTTGGGCCATTCCCCTGGCCTTGATTTGAATGATACCTCTCGTATTTCCATCGTTTACGGCAGTACGGCCAGCAATGCGAAGGGGAAGGGGGAGGGGGAGGCGGGGGCCTGATGGTGGAGGAGGGATGAACGGAGGAAGGGGGAAAGAGGAGGAGGAGGAGGAGAAGGAGAAGGAGGGGGAGGAGGAGGAGGAGGAGGAGGAGGAGGAGGAGGAGGAGGAGGAGAAGGAGGAGGACGACGAGGAGGAGGACGAGGACGAGGAGGAGGAGAAGGACGAGGAGGAGGAGGACGAGGAGGAGGAGGGGGAGGGCGAGGGAGAGCAAGAGCTGGGGAGGGAGAGGAGGAAAACAGAGACATGAAGTGGCCCCGTAGCGTCAATGTGGTCAGAACAATCGCTGGAATCGTGCTCGCTCTTCTGGTCCCAGCGGTGTGACTAGCGGAGACCCCGCAGGGGCCGTGGCCTTCACCGACATCCAGAAGCTCGTGGAGGTCGCCGAGCAGTTGGGCGACAAAGACACCGTCACGAAGTATCGCGATGAGACTGCCAAGCGGACCCCGCAAAACTTGTACACCAGCGAGCAGCACAGGCCCAGAGGAAAGTGGGGGCCATCGAGCGAAAGCTCAACGCCGCCACAAAGCTGGCAGCGAGCTCCGCACCCAGGTCGAGTCCCAAGGGGAACTGGTCCAGCAGCTGGTGGAGGAGCTCAACCTGGCAGAGAGCGGGTACAAGAAGGTGGTGGCAGAGGAGTACAGCACCACTGTCGGATCACATCCTGCCAGTACGTCGCAGACCGCACCCACGTCCAAGCTCAACTTGCGCGCCGTGCTGGACGGGACCGCCGAGGGCTTCACCTTCGGCGATGACGGCATGTTCGATCTTGGCGAAGACTACGAGCTCAGCACTGATGACGCACAGCAGATTGCCA